TAGTTTGACCTCAATGCAAGAGACAAGGTAAATTTATGTTGTTGACATATATTAGAATAGTAAAGAAAATATTTGTGTGATTTCTCCCTCGGATTTCAGAATTTTTGTGAAATACGTTTTATGTATTGAAAAAAAAGGGAAGAAAGTTTTAATTGGTTATGCCAAGTAATACAAAATTAAAAATTGTTAAAAATATTAGTAGAGGTACAATAAAATAACAAAATAACTTCTTTAATTTTAATCTGGACAAATTCAATATCACAAATTAGTACTAAATATGATATTATTTTGATTATAGGTAAAAAGGTTAAATGCGAAAAATTAATTAAAATTTTACGATAGATGTAAAAAAATGCATAACTAATGAGATAGATATAATATGAGGACATTTATACTTTGAATTAATTAAAAAATGAAGTAAGTAGATAATACACGAAGATATTAACGATTAATTTAGAAAGTAAAAAAATAGAATAATAGAAAATTTTCATATAGAATTTTTTATTAGATATATTATGTTGAAAATAAAAAGGAGGTTGAATTTTTATTTTTCAAAGCAAAGTGATCAATGCTCAAATAACAAAGATCACAATTTGAAATGATTAGTATTCTAATTCTTTAATATGATGCGCACATCGCGCGAGTTTTAATACTAGTCAATTATAATACGAATAAGATAGAATCATTATTACGACTTTAACTTCATGACACGTATTGTTCTTTTTTTATTCTTTGGATCGACTGCGACATATATTATCGAGTCCAAAGCATACATAAATACAAATTTATGGTATGTTTTATAAAGTTTTTTACAAGACATAAATGCAAAATTCTTATAAGTTCTATTTTATTTTTTAGAAATTTGTCAGCCTAGAAGCCTATTAATTTCGCTTGATATGCTGAGCGTACATGGTAAACTCTTCTAATATCTCGTTTGAACTGGTAAATCTGCAATTACTGGAGAAAAATAATGAAAATACACCAAAAAAAAAAAAAACAATTGTCCAAAACAATCTAAATTCTGTAAGCTCTCCGAGTCATCTAAAGAAAAACCACGTGGAAGTGGTGGCCCTTGAAACTTTTTGTCGGGGATTTTAAGAATAATGAGGCTTAAAATAGGGTGAACGGGAAATGGAGGGAAATGAAATTTTTAAGTTTTCCCTTTTGGCAAAGGGACATTGTACCATATTGGAAGAGGAAGAGGAATTTTATGGGTATATAAACAATTGCTCTTCTTCTAGCTCTTAAAGATTTGAGAAGAAGGCAAGCCTCGCGCTGTCGTCGCTTGCTCGGCTTCGGATTTGGTCAAACAATTGATTGATTAATTTTTTGGACCAAATTTATTTGTTAATAGTAAAATATTAACAGAAATGTTATTAAATATTCGTTTTAATAACAGAATATTAATATTAAAATAAATATTAATATTAAATTCAATCCGTTTTTCAGTTGTGTAACTGAAAATTAAACTACCCTCTTCAATTTTCCCTCTTTATTTTTGAGTAAATAGCTATTTATGTTATGACATTTATGTTGTGGCCGTTTTGCATAAACAACCATTCTGAAGAGTTGCACCTCTTCAGATTTCAGCCCAACATTGGCTATAAATACAAGTCTATTATGCTTAGATTTCCATACGAATTTTTCTAAGTTTCTCCTCTTTCTTCTGCATTGTTTTAACTTCAAAGAAAGCAACAGTAAATGTGATTTGCTACCAAACTTTGTGTTCGCTGAAACACTGGGGTCTGAAGTATCACTATACCAGTGTATAATTCGTTCTATCTAGGGAGGAAATAATCTATAACCTTGAGTACTAGGAGGAGATTAAATTTCTTCAGAAAATACTGTAAATTCAGTGAACTCGAATTGATTTTTATTTCTTTACATTTTCTATTTATATATATTATTCTGTGTTTTTCCCAAAATTAATTTACAAATACAACAGATTACTAACACTTTTGCTTATGATTTTGGTCGGCAAAATGAGTGTCCCGCTGACTGAATAAGTAGACCCCACCTTTTTCCTTTGCGTATTTGAGCTCACGATCGCGACTTTCTCTAACAATGAAAATGACATTTTCTTATTTTATTATTACGTAGATATTGGGTGTGTTTGGTACGAAAGATTTTTCAAAATGTTTTCATGGAAAATAAGTGATTTTATCATTTATTTTTTTTTGTTTGGTTGGTGAGTGAAAGAAAAAATTTAGAAAAATATTTTTTAGTATTCGGTTAGAGATTAGAAAATACTTTTTTAAGAAAATATTTTTTTTATGCTACTCTCCTCATTCTCCCCCCCTACCCCCAAGTCTCTAAACATTCACAAAAATCCAAAGGAACTAATGTGTTGCTTTACTTTTTTACTCAAAAATAATATTGAAATTTGTGTTCCATAACTAAAAAGAAATATTCTTTTTGTAGTTGAAAAAGTTAGTACTCTTTCTACAACATGAAAATAAAGTACTCATTTTATTGAAATAAAAGTAAATATTTTTTCTACATCATGAAAAGAAAATACTCATTTAGTTGAAATGAAAAAGAAAATTCTTTTTTTGTTGAAATGAAAAAGGAAATTCAACATAAAAAGAAAGTATTTTTTTTGTGTGGAAGGGCCGCACCCCAAAGAGGTGGATGTAAGCAGTCTATCCTGATGCAAGCATCAGTGGCTGATTCTTCAAGCACTATATACTTGGAATGAAACCATTCTTACCAAGGCACAATGCAATTTAAGTTTGTCATTTACTAACTTAAAATTCTGGATTAGCCACTGATGCTTACATTAGGATAAGTTGTCTCCGTATGACCTATAGGTCATTGGTTCGAGCTGTGGAATCAACCATTAATGCTTGTATTAGGGTAGACTGCCTATATCACACCCCCTTGGGATGTGGTCTTACCCGGACCCTGCGTGAATGCTCGATGTTTCTATATCGAGCTGAGAAGGAAAGTCTTGGAGCAATGGTAAAGTTGTCTCCAATTGATCTATAGGTCACGGATTCGAGCCGTGAAAAAAGCCACTAATATTTGCATTAGAGTAGGCTGTCTATATCACTCATTTGGACGCGGCCTTTCCTTGGATCCAACACGAACACAGGATGCTTTGTGTTGTTGTGCACCGGCCTTGCCTGCCTTCTAATGAGATAGTTGAATAAGCAAGCTATTACATGAGTGACACATTATCATTGCTAGGTAATCTGCTATAATAGGTTATTATTTTATTTTCATGTTACCGTATTAAACTTGATATGAATATAATACTATGTTATTGTAGGTCATATCAACATAATGGTACAAGTAAAAAACTTAAACTCTTTTTCAATATCTCGTTATATTAACGTATGTTTACTTTTTCTTTCATTTAATTTTGGCTCTATGCCTACTAATCAATTGTGTTGAAAGGGATGCACGCATTCAGGGGCGGATCCAGAATTTATATCCTATGGATTCAACTTTCAAGATTTTTAGCATTGAACCCATTATATTTTTAAAGTTATGAGTTCGTATATACTATTTTTACAATTTTAATGAATTCTAAATATATATAAAAAATTTAATCTGCATGAAAAATTATGAGTTCTATTGAACCCGTAGGTTGAACACTACATCAACCCCGCCCTGATGAATTCGAGATAGGAGTCTCAATTCAAAATTTCATTGAAAACCAACCAAAAATTGTACACATATTGGGATAAAATGTGTGTTTCCACACCCCAACCCCCAATACATCGTTATTTTGGTTGGTGAAGCCAGAATGAAATCAAACACTTTAAAGTTAAACCCCTCCAAAATTCGATCAAAGTATTAATTACTTCCACCCTATCAATTAATAAAAAAGGACAGTCTGGTACACTAAGCTCCCGTTATGAGCAGGGCCTAGGGAAGGGTCTATCGTACGCAACCTTAGCTTACCCTGCATTTCTACAAGAGCATGTTTCCACGACTCGAACCCGTCACTCTTTCAATTTATGTGTCTTACTTTCATTTTTAGTGCATTAAAAAAAAGTCACGTTTGTATTAGTATGTTTTTAATTCCAATTCGAATTTTTATCTTTAATGACATTCTTTTATAATAATAATATGACATGTTCAAGACCGACTAAAAAAGTCTAATAATATTTTTGGTAATACTATACAGTCTTTTAGTTTAAGACGATTAAGATTCAAATTTTTTTCTTTATACTCTGAAATCTCGTATCAGTTAAACTAAGACATATGATATGAAACAAAAGTAGTAATTAGTAGTTTATCCACCTTTTTGTTGTTATAGTGTTATTCCTAAGATAAATGCTAGCCATTTTCATCATTGTTGCTTGCTGCTAGCTGTATAATAGCTAGCTAAGTTATTAGAGAAAGACACTGTTTTTTTCTGTCCCTCTTTTACATTAAATCCAAAGAATACAATCAATAATCTCGTGCATAAGTNGTGTGTGTGTGCGCGCGCGCGCGGGCATGCTCTTGAAATCCTGGATCCGCCTCTGGTTCGAGGAAGGGTCACACCTCAAGGGACGTGACGTAAACAACCTACCCTAATGCAAGTATTAGTGGATGCTTCCACATCTCGAACCCGTGACCTGTAGGTCATACGGAGACAACTTTATCATTGCTCCAAGGCTCCCTTTTGGAATGCAAGCATTAATGGAGGAATAAAAGGTGGTAGGATAGCCCGACGTACAAGGCATCTTGCGCTCGCGCAAGGTTAATTTGGGGGAGGGCCGCACCTCAAGGGGTGTGATGTAGACAACATACCCTAATACAAGCATTAGTAGCTGCTTCCACGGCTCGGATCGGTGATTTATAAGTCACACCAAAATAACTTTACCGTCAAGGCTCCTTCAGAAAAAGAATAAAGGTTGATGAAAGTATTAGTAACAATATTTGTTTGTACATGCAATAATTCATTGCGTCAGCAGTTGATAATGTTCACATGCATGGCTTCACTTTCTATAAAGATGGATTTTTTTTTTAACAGAATCCATTACTATAAGCTACTATACTTTGTGTTTTGAGAGAAAAACAACAGAAGAAAATGAAGCTATTTAGAATGAGTTTGTGGTCTTTATTAATGGTGGTTTGGTTTCTATTAATAGCAACTTCTAATTTGGTGGAAAGAAAATGTGCATTTGAGGCTATTTTTAATTTTGGAGATTCAAATACTGATACAGGTGGATTTTATGCAGCATTCCCATCTCAAGGTTCTCCTTATGGAATGACTTATTTCAAAAAACCAGTTGGACGTCCAACTGATGGCAGAGTCATCGTTGATTTTCTTGGTATTTCATCTTTCACTTTTATACATATATGATGTATGCTTATTGTTCGAGTAAATTTGTTGTTGGGCTAAACAGATCCAGATATATTCTTAACGTCAAAATAGCACGGGCTAGCCAGTTTTCGGACTGGTAATTGAAAAATAGTTAGCGTTCGCAAAGTCATTGAAAAATAGTAACTATTTTGCTGCAACATGAAAAGTTCCAGCATAATATACTGGAGATTGGAGCACCCGTGTATGAACTTCTAGCATATTATGCTGTAACTCCTACACGGAAAGTTCCAACATAATATACTGGAGATTGGAACATCTGTGCATGGACTTCCAGCATATTATGTTGGAACTCCGGCACACAAAAAGTTTCAAGCATAATATACTGAAGAATTGGAACACCTGTTTATGGACTTCCAGCATATTATATTGGAACTCCAGCATATTATCAAATTCCAGCATGTAATGCTGGAAGTTCACATGTAAAAAATTCGAACTCCAACATATTATGCTAGAATATTTTCCGAATTTTGAACAATATTTTTGTTCAGATTTATCTTTAACATGAAAAGTGGCTAAATCTCGATTACTATCGTCAATTACCACTTGTAAATCTAACTATTTTTAAATTTCTCCCACTCTTAACAAAGTGCGATATTGTCTGATTTGAGCCAAGCACGTACGATTTTCCACAAAAGGCCTTACCCCCCTTAAAAAGTGTTAGCTAATAAAATTTCAGATTACTGAAAGTTTTATGTAATGTGCAGCTCAAGCATTAGGTTTGCCATTTTTGAGTCCATATTTGCAATCAATTGGATCTGAATACAAACATGGTGCCAACTTTGCAACATCAGCATCCACTGTACTTTTGCCACAAACTTCATTGTTTGTATCTGGAGTTAGCCCCTTTTCTCTTGAAATTCAGCTCAGACAAATGAAGGAATTTAAAGTTAAAGTCAATGAACTTCAGAGTAAAGGTAATATGAATATTATTCCAATTTAGAAACATTCATATAGTATATACTTTTACCTTATCATAATCTTTTTATATGTATCTTTGTTTCCAGGGAACACTAATCTGCCTCCACCAGACATATTTGGGAAGTCACTTTATACATTTTACATAGGTCAGAATGATTTCACTGGCAATTTGGCAAGAATAGGAATAAGTGGAGTGAAGCAATACTTACCTATAGTAGTTTCCCAAATTACTAGCACCATCAAGGTAATTTAATCAGAATTTGGTTTTCTGGATCCTAATTTTTTTATGCATAATTAGCTGTCTTTTACCGCTTCCGTTTCAACTTGTTTGACACTATTTCCTTATCAGTTCGTCTAAAAAAGAATGACACAATAGTTAACTTTGGACTACTCTCCTTTATCCTCAGTGAAGAGCTTTTATAGCCACAAAAATAGTAGAAAAGACACTAGGTAACCGCTTTTAAGTATGTTGTTTAAAATATATCCACAGTTTACAATGTATTTATAGATTAGTCAATTTTGCTCCAACTTCAGGACACATCGTCCTAGAATTTAAACCTCAAAGTTCAAAGTTCAGGACATCGTGTCCTAAAGTTCGAAAATTGTGTCCAGAAGTTCGAATCTTATGTCCTGAATTTTAATTTAGTAGTTTACACTTAGTCCTGAATTTCAAATTAGCAGCTCAAAATTTCAGAAATTTCAAAATTCAGGATACTTAGTCCTGAAATTTGGGTGAATTGGCTAATCTTTAAATACATTGTAAATTGTGGATAGATTTTAAATAAGGGGCTTAAAAGTAGCTATTGTTGCACTTCTCCCATAAAAATATTATAACATGTTCAAAAACCACAAGTTTCTGAAGCCTTATAGCTACACAAATGTAAATAGCATGTTTTGGACCATAAATTTTAAACGTTTTCATTTCTTTTTTAAACTTCGTGCAGAGCCAGACTATACCAAACAAATTGGAACAGAGTATAACTTATAATGTGAAATCTGATCATGTTGATATGTAATGGATTTTTCACCAGGAAATCTATGGATTAGGGGGAAGAACATTTTTGGTACTTAACCTTGCACCAATTGGATGTTATCCAATGTTCCTAATGGAGCTACCTCATGAGAGTTCAGATATTGATCAATTTGGATGCATGATATCATACAACAATGCAGTGGTGGACTATAACAATATGCTTAAAGAAGCATTGACACAAACAAGAAAACAACTTTCAGATGCAAATGTAGTTTATGTGGACACTCATTCTGTGCTCTTGGAGCTTTTCCAACACCCCACTTCTCATGGTACGTTTCAGTGCAGTTTAATCGGCTATAGTAGGCTATGTTGCTCGGACACTTCGAAAATTTTGTCAGATACGTGTCGGATCCTCCAAAAGTAGTATATTTTTGGAGGATCCAACACGGATGTGGCATCATTTTAGAGAGTCTGCGCAACATAGATAGTAGGTTAAAGTTACATGTTATTGTAAATCAAATCAACGACATGGTGTAAACATTCTATAGCTAACAGTGTATAAAACTTAAACTCTAGCCGAAAAAACGAAAGACCCTACTTAGGAGATATTTATACTGCTATAACTCAAGATTGCCATAATGATGTTCGTCTTTGTAGGGTTAAAATATGGAACCAAAGCATGTTGTGGACAAGGAGGTGGTGCCTACAACTTTAACCAGCAAGTATTCTGTGGAAATACCAAACAGATAAATGGACAAACATTGACAGCCACAGCCTGTGAGGATCCATACAATTATGTAAGCTGGGATGGGATACATGCCACAGAAGCAGCAAACAAACTCACTACATATGCCATTCTCAATGGTTCTAATTTTGATCCTCCATTTTCACTGCAAAAATTCTGTGATATTCAATCTATAGGTTGATACATGATTTTCTTGTAAGCGTAGGGAAAATAAACCACGAGTTATTACTAGGAGACATGAATAAAAGATAGTGATGCTTTGGCAATTTACATATTTCTTCTATGCATCAGTTCCATCGGTAGAGAATTAATTCAAGTAGGATTTATTCAGCTTTCAACAAACATATAGGTAATTCGACCACTAAACCATAAAGACTTTGATTCAGCCTCTCTATCGGAAACATCCTCTTTACCTCACATAAGGTAGGGGTAAGGTCTGCGTACACCTTACCCTACCCTCACCAGACCCCACCGAAAAGAATCTGTTTCAGCAGAAGAAGGTTCAACACAACTAATGCAGGCAAACTGATGTTCCACTGCAGAAGGTGAACCTTCCATGACAGTGCATTAACAAATTCGAGGCCTTAGAGTTTCTCTTCTGTACCACTTTTTCTACCATTAAAAAATTACAGATGGCACAAACTGTAATCAATGATTAGAGTGCATCTTTAAGCAACGCGAGACAATAGTCAAATAAACCCCCTGATAGCCAAGAATAACACAGTTTGGGGGTTCTTGAAATTTGTCCAAGTAGAAACCCCTGGCCTTTGTCAAAGTCAAGGACTAGAATTTAATGCCGCCCTCGGCTGTGGAGTCATAGTAGCACGAAAACAGAATAGACCTTGTGGAGTGAATTATATGCCACTCCCAAACTACGAGGACTCCAAAGTACAAAATACAATCCCACTCCTAAAAATTGGTTCTTTGTTCAAACAGGACGCACCCCTCAGAATAAACAGTGTCAAACACAGAGACAAAAAAGAAGAGAGAAAAGCAAGTCACACTATTTAAGTTTGCTGCTAAACCAAACTCATCATCCATTCAACAAATATAGAAGACGAGCATCCAGCATACAACACCCTACAGAACCATCCCAAGACGGGTAGTAGATGTTACTGAGTCCAAATCCTTCATTTTTACTACGCTGAAAAGCCAAAAACACAAAACCCAGTAACCTATGAAGTAAATCAGTTCACTGGCCATGGTCCAGTCGCAAACCTAGAGGTCCCACAACACTTAAGGCCAGGGAGTCCTACAATCGAAGTCCACACATCCCCACCCCTCAAAGCCAAGCTTCAGAAGTGTAATCAACAAGACTATGTGCATAACTGAATAGGCACCAGCTAAAATATTGCATTCATTTCATGAAAGCACAAATCTTCATACAAAACTCACAATGCACAAAGTTTGATCACATAAATTCAAACGATACACAAAATACTCTCTCAATGTTTATGGAAAACGCTCCACAAAAATGCAGGCAAACTGATGTTCGACTGCAGAAGGTGAACCTTCTACAACAGTGCATTAACAAATTCAAGGCCTTAAGAGTTTCTCTTCTGTACAATTTTTTCTACCATTAAAAAATTACAGATGGCACAAACTGTAATCAATGATTAGAGTGCATCTTTAAGCAACACGAGATGATAGTCAAATAAACCCCCTAATGGCCGAGAATAACACAGTTTGGGAGTTCTTGAAATTTGTCCAAATAGGAACCCCTGGCCTTTGTCAAAGTCAAGGACTAAAATTTAATGCCGCCCTCAGCTGTTGAGTCCTTAATAGTAGCAAGAAAACAGAATAGACCTCGTGGAGTGAATTATATGCCACTCCCAAACTACAAGGACTCAAACTACAAACTACAATCCCACTATCCCAAAAATTGGTCCCATTCAAACTGGTGTTTGGTCAAACGGGACGCGCCCCTCAGAATAAACATTGTAACACACACAGAGAGACAAAAAAGAAGAGAAAAAAGCAAGTCACACCATTTAAGTTTGCTGTTAAACCAAATTCATCATCCATTCAACAAATACAGAAGACGAACACCAGCATACAACACCCTATAAAACTATCCCAAGACGGGTAGTAGATGTTAGTATGTTACTAAGTCCAAATCCTTCATTATTACTACGCTGGAAAGGCAAAAACTCAAAACCCAGAAAGCTATGAAGTAAATCAGTTCACTGGCCATGGTCGAGTCGCATTCCTAGAGGTTCTACAAAACGTAGAGGCCGGGGGATCCTACAATCGAAGTCCACTCATCCCCACCCCTTAAAGCCAAGCTTCAGAAGTGTAATCAACAAGACTACGTGCATAACTGAATAGACACCAGCTACTATATTGCATTCATTTCATTTGAAAGCATATCTTCATACAAAACTCACAATGCACAAAGTTTGATTACATGACTTCAAACGATACACAAAATACTCTCTCAATGTTTATGGAAAAAGCTCCACAAAAACATTAGTAAGGCCTATAACGGACCTCAGTAACAGCAGCTTTGAGTTCAGATTTAGATTTTGTCAATGTCTTCATCCTCAAACTCAATATAGTCATCACCAGCGCCCTCTTCTTCTTCATCCAGCCCACCAGTAATGCCCTCATTAAGTCTTGTGTTCTCTGGCAACTCTCCATATGCCTTCAATAACCTGGCCTCGTCAGGCATGTACTTCAAGATCACATCAGCTTTGTCATCCTGGCAAAATAAAAATGACAAAGTTAAAAGAGAGCAATATCCACATTGGATAAGCAATCAAGATAGCACATCAAAGCAAACCAAAAAAATGATCAATTCCCCAAGTAGAATGCTACAAATAAAAGCTTTTCAGAGGAAGGCGATGCACATGCACAGGCTCAGACACACACCGGTGCCACTTCTCTTGGAACTCAATAGCAACTACAGAAACTATTTTACCCTTCAAAAAGAGCAGATGTATATCATAGGCAGCAGTGCGGGCACACAACTGTCAATTATACAGCGGCTTCTGCTGTGCCAATTACAGCAAGTAGTATTGCACTAAGCAAGTTGTAGTCCCAGTTTCTTTTCTCCTTCGATCCCAAAGTTTTGAAGCCTTTCTGTGTTCTTGGTATTGCAGGGAAGTCATTTTAGTTCCTGTTTCACACTCCCTTTCTAGGTAAAGCATGATTTGAACAGCTTCTTTCTTTGCTACTGCTGCCATACCACAAAGAAGTCCGTTTGTATATGCCCACGCTCTTGTTTATTATTTTCTAGAACCTCAGGAACTATCATTTCTAGCCCCCCCCCCCCC